GAGGTACATGTGCCAGTGGAGCTGGTGGATAGCGACGTTGCCATGGGAGACAACCACTCCACGCTGTGCACTTGGTCTCCAGACACTGCCCTGCCAAACTTTGAAATTAATTCTGACAAAGGTGTGATGTTTCTGGCCAGGAGGAAAAATGCAAGGCCCGTGTAAATGTTGATGATGAGGAAAAGTGCGATGCACTGGTAAATTGTAAATATAATGATGTGGTAGACACAGCTGAGGAAAAAGCTGCAGTTGAATTAGGCCCCCTACAGGTTCAGGAGGGTAGTCTGGGAAGAGAAACTTTAAATAGCTTATCTGCCCAGAGGGAAAACTTTAAGGAAGTGGATAATTTAAAGAGGTCCCCTGACATAAAAACATCTGAAGAGCAAGACAATCGGTCTGTCCTTCAGAAGGATAGTAGGACATTGCTGTCATCTGAGACTGTCAGTGACCAAAGGAAGCATGCAGTGTACGGGGGGAAACCAACCGAGCTAGGTTTTGTCAGCAAGAAGATGCCTGTACATAGAATGCAGAGAGGGTCTAAGGTAACCCCAATAAAAGAGCCCGCACTTTTTGTGTTTAAAAGTGTGACCCCTTCAAAGGTAAAGGGAAACCGGCGGTTGAGAGTGCAGTGTAGCTGTAATGTTATCCGACACCGAAAACTCAGGCGTCAACCTCATCCTCAGAAATGTACGAAGTTTTGGAAGTTCCTTAATGGGAAGGTGATTTGGGTGGCCCCAAGGAAAATAGAGCGGCAACGCTTTTGGAAGCGTACCCGTAAAAAGGCGCAGTGTCTTTATAGGGCCCAAGTCCGTGTAGTAGGAGAACACAGGGAAAGTTGCCTCGTAAGACAGGAAGGAAAGTTTCCCTTTGAAAGTGATGTCAGTCAGGAATGGGCTCATATAGGTGAAAGCTGGCACAGAGGTGCCAAAGTAAAGAATTTGGGCTTGTGTGTTCTGCTCCCTACGGGATCAAAACAAAGGGGGGGGATATGTGGCAGTGCGGTATCCTGCCACGGTGGAAAGCACGATGCTGACCCAGGATTCTCAACCATAGAGGTTGAGGGGCTCCAGGCAGATCTCCTAATGCAGAGGAAACTGGTTTATCAGTTTCCTCTTTGGTTGGTAAAGCCTGTTTTGGGACCTGTAGCCTGGAGATTTCTTAGAGATTTGGGAGGGATGAAATCTCCAATCCTGGGCCCATATTTTGGGAGCAGCCAGCGTGCTGATTGCACAGGTGTGTGCAGGCCTTTTAGTGGAGGCCAGGCCATGATTCTGGGCTCCACCCCGGCAAACGGAGTCGGGAGGGCTCCACCCCAGCAGGAGGATTCCACCCCGGCAGGCAGGAGGTCTCTGCCGTGGAGTCAGGTGGGCTACACCTAGGAGAGGTGGAAGCCAGACTAGCTGTGTGCTAGTGCCATACTTTGGGAAGAGTCTGCAGGAGGCAGACTTAAAACTGCATACAAGCCAGGAGGCTGAATACTGTTCATTTGAATTCGTGTGATGGTGGATACCCCTGCGTGGGAAACCTTTATGTTATTGAACTGTCATTTAAATAAAAGTGGGCAAACAGGCCCTTAAAAAATAAGCGAGTTGCCGTGTGCTTTGAAGAAGCTCTACCACTTGAAGCGAGTTCCCACATAACATACATACATACTACCCCACATACCTATACTGTACATACATACATACAGTCAGGTCCTTAAATATTGGGACATGGACACAATTCTAACATTTTTGGCTCTATACACCACAATGGATTTGAAATGAAACAAACAAGATGTGCTTTAACTGCAGACTGTCAGCTTTAATTTGAGGGTATTTACATCCAAATCAGGTGAACGGTGTAGGAATGACAACACTTTGCATATGTGCTTCCCACTTGTTAAGGGACCAAAAGTAATGGGACAGAATAATAATCATAAATCAAACTTTCACTTTTTAATACTTGGTTACAAATCCTTTGCAGTCAATGACAGCCTGAAGTGTGGAACGCATAGACATCACCAGACGCTGGGTGTCATCCCTGGTGATGCTCTGCCAGGCCTCTACTGCAACTGTCTTCAGTTCCTGCTTGTTCTTGGGACATTTTCCCTTCAGTTTTGTCTTCAGCAAGTGAAATGCTCAATCAGATTCAGGTCAGGTGATGGACTTGGCCATTGCAGAACATTCCACTTCTTTCCCTTTGGTTGCTTTTGCAGTCTGCTTTGGGTCATTGTCCATCTGCACTGTGAAGCCTCCAATGAGTTGTGAAGCATTTGGCTGAATATGAGCCGATAATATTCCCGAAACACTTCACAATTCATCCGGCTGCTTCTGTCAGCCGTCACATCATCAATAAATACAAGAGAAGCAGTTCCATTGGCAGCCATACATGCCCACGCCATGACACTACCACCACCATGCTTCACTGATGAGGTGGTATGCTGAGGACCATGAGCAGTTCCTTCTCCATACTCTTCTCTTCCCATCACTCTGGTACAAGTTGATGTTGGTCTCATCTGTCCATAGGATGTTGTTCCAGAACTGTGAAGGCTTTTTTAGATGTCGTTTGGCAAACTCTAATCTGGCCTTCCTGTTTTTGAGGCTCACCAATGGTTTCCATCTTGTGGTGAACCCTCTGCATTCACTCTGGTGAAGTCTTCTCTTGATTGGTGACTTTGACACACATACACCTACCTCCTGGAGAGTGTTCTTGATCTGGCCAACTGTTGTGAAGGGTGTTTTCTTCACCAGGGAAAGAATTCTTCGCTCATCCACCACAGTTGTTTTCCGTGGTCTTCCGGGTCTTTTGGTGTTGCTGAGCTCACGGTGCGTTCCTTCTTTTTAAGAATGTTCCAAGCAGTTGTTTTGGCCACGCCTAATGTTTTTGCTATCTCTCTGATGGGTTTGTTTTGTTTTTTCAGCCTAATGATGGCTTCACCGATAGTGACAGCTCTTTGGATCTCATCTTGAGAGTTGACAGCAACAGATTCCAAATGCAAATAGCACACTTGAAATGAACTCTGGACCTTTTATCTGCTGATTGTAATTGGGATAATGAGGGAATAACACACACCTGGCCATGGAACAGCTGAGAAGCCAATTGTCCCATTACTTTTGGTCCCTTAACAAGTGGGAGGCACATATGCAAACTGTTGTAATTCCTACACCGTTCACCTGATTTGGATGTAAATACCCTCAAATTAAAGCTGACAGTCTGCAGTTAAAGCACATCTTGTTCATTTCAATTCAAATCCATTGTGGTGTATAGAGCCAAAAATGTTAGAATTGTGTCCATGTCCCAATATTTATGGACCTGACTGTAGATACATTCTACCCCACATACCTATACATACAAACATATTACTCCACATACCAATACATACATACTACCACACATACCTATACATACAAACATACTACCCCACATACCTATACATACATACTACCCCACATACCTATACAAACATACATACATACAACCCCCACATACCTGTACATACATACAACCCCACATACATACTGCCCCACATATCTATACAAACATACATACTACCCCACATAACTATACATACATACTACCCCGCATACCTATACATACATACATACTACCCCACATACTTATACATACATACAACCCCCACATATCTATACAAACATACATACTACCCCACATACCTATACATTCATACTACCCCACATACCTATACATGCATACATACTACCCCACATATCTATACAAACATACATACTACCCCACATACCTATACATTCATACTACCCCACATACCTATATATACATACTACCCCACATACATATACATACATACATACTACCCCACATACCTATACATGCATACTACCCCACATACATATACATGCTGCCCCACATACCTATACATACTACCCCACATACCTATACATACATACTACCCCACATACATACATACATACTACCCCACATACCTATACATGCTGCCCCACATACCTATACATACATACTACCCCACATACCTATACATACATACTACCCCACATACATACATACATACATACTACCCCACATACCTGTACATACATACTACCCAACATACCTGTACATACATACTACCCCACATACCTATACATACATACTACCCCACATAATTATACATACATACCTATACATACCACATACATGTACACTCATACACACACTTACACATCTGTCTGCACTGTTTGAAAATATCTTTAAATAACATAAATGACGGAGATGTAAGCCCCGCCCACTGTGCGCCCAATCCATCCAATCCGAGAAGAAGAAATAATAATAATAAAAATGATGATGATAACAATTAATGATAAAAAAATATAGATAGTATTAATTAATAATAATATTAGCAATAATATAACAACAACATAATGATAATAATAATAATAATAATAAGATGATAGCGATAAAGCAAAAATAAAAATAGTAAAATAGTATCAATTGATAATAATATTGTTAATAACACAACATAATAAAGATAGTGATAAGAAGAAGAATATTAAATAAAATAATAATAATAATTATTATTATTATATTAAAAACACTAGGCTGCATTGTACAAAGTGTCCTTTAGGGGGAGCTCCGCCACCTCTCAGTACAAAACACGTGCGGTGTAAATACACTGACTACATTTCCCGGCAACGCTCAGGGATCAGGAGCTCCGTCTCTGATTGGCTGAGGCCCTGATCGCAGAAGGTATACAGGAGGGAGGAAAAGTTCACGTGTAATGCAGAGAGGGGATTGGTTCTTCGGTGACACAGGGGCAGGAGGATTGTATAAGGGGGGACGACTGGATTGCGGATAGGCGTGAGTGAGGCGGAGCTAATAGGATAGAGGCATGGCAGGGATTGGACTAGGAGTGGAAGCGGGGCGGAGATTGGAAGGAGAGTATGAGCTGGGCGGGCGGTAAAGGAAGCGGGCGTGGGAGGAAGGAGGAAGCGGTGCGTGGGTTGGATGAAGAATGACAGCGGGGCGGGGTCTTGCAGGATAGTGACAGTAGGCGGGGTCTTGTGGACGGGGCGCTGACTGGGGCCTCGGAGCTCCTGTGGTCGATGATGGCGTGGTGGATGTGGTCGGTCCGGGGGAGATGTGGCCTGTCCGGGGCCTGGAGGTCCGCCTCTAGGGGGTGTGTGACCCGAGCCGTACCGAGGCCGGAGACCCAGGTGAGACCCCTCCCCCGCCGCAATACCCCCCCCCCCCCCCCCCCATAATATTCCATACTTCTCCCCCCCCCCATAATATTCCATACCTCTCCTCCCCCCATAATATGCCATACTCTCTCCCCCCCCCCCCCCCCCCCATAATATTCCATACTTCTCCCCCCCCATAATATTCCATACCTCTCCCCCCCCCCCCCCATAATATTCCATACTTCTCCCCCCCCATAATATTCCATACCTCTCCTCCCCCCCCCCCCATAATATTCCATACTTCCCCCCCCCCCCCATAATATTCCATACTTCTCCCCCCCATAATATTCCATACTTTCTCCCCCCCCCATAATATTCCATACTTCCCCCCCCCCCATAATATTCCATACTTCTCATCCCCCCCCCCCCATAATATTCCATACTTCTCCCCCCCCCATAATATTCCATACCTCTCTCCTCCCCCCCCCCCCCATAATATTCCATACTTCTCCCCCCCCCATAATATTCCATACTTCTCCCCCCCCCCCCCATAATATTCCATACTTCTCCCCCCCCCCATAATATTCCATACTTCTCTCCCCCCCCCCATAATATTCCATACTTCTCCCCCCCCCCATAATATTCCATACTTCTCCCCCCCCCCATAATATTCCATACTTCTCCTCCCCCCCCCCATAATATTCCATACCTCTCCTCCCCCCCCCATAATATTCCATACCCCCCCCCCCATGATCCATACCTCGCCTCCCCCCCCCCCATAATTTCCATAACTCTCCCCATAATGTTCCATCCATACCCTCCCCCCCCCCCATAATGTTCCACCCATACCTTCCCCCTCCCATAATAATCTATTTCTCTCCTCTTCCCCCCCCCCCCATAATAATCTATACTCCTCCCCCCCATAATCTATACTCCTCTCCCCCCCCATAATATTCCATAACTCCCCCCCCCATAATGTTCCATCGATACCTCCCCCCCCCCATAATGTTCCATCCATACCCTCCCCCCCCCATAATGTTCCATACCCCATACCCTCCCCCCCCCCCCATAATGTTCCACCCATACCCTCCCCCCCCCATAATGTTCCACCCATACCTCCCCCCCCCCATAATGTTCCACCCATACCTTCCCCCTCCCATAATAATCTATACCCCCCCCCATAATATTCCATACCTCTCCTCTCCCCATAATGTTCCATCGATACCTTCCCCCCCCCATAATGTTCCATCCATACCCTCCCCCCCCCCCATAATGTTCCATCCATACCCTCCCCCCCCCCCCCCCCCATAATGTTCCACCCATACCTTCCCCCTCCCCCCCATAATGTTCCATCCATACCTTCCCCCTCCCCCCCATAATGTTCCATCCATACCTTCCCCCTCCCCCCCATAATTTTCCACCCATACCTTCCCCCCCCCCCCCCCATAATGTTCCACCCATACCTTCCCCCCCCCCCCCATAATGTTCCACCCATACCTTCCCCCCCCCCCCCATAATGTTCCACCCATACCTTCCCCCCCCCCCATAATGTTCCACCCATACCTCCCCCCCCCCCATAATGTTCCATCCATACCTTCCCCCTCCCCCCCAGAATGTTCCATCCATACCTTCCCCCTCCCCCCCAGAATGTTCCATCCATACCTTCCCCCCCCTCCCCCCCAGAATGTTCCATCCATACCTTCCCCCTCCCCCCCAGAATGTTCCATCCATACCTTCCCCCTCCCCCCCAGAATGTTCCATCCATACCTTCCCCCTCCCCCCCAGAATGTTCCATCCATACCTTCCCCCTCCCCCCCAGAATGTTCCATCCATACCTTCCCCCTCCCCCCCAGAATGTTCCACCCATACCTTCCCCCTCCCCCCCAGAATGTTCCACCCATACCTTCCCCCCCCCCATAATGTTCCACCCATACCTCCCCCCCCCCCATAATGTTCCACCCATACCTTCCCCCCCCCATAATGTTCCACCCATACCTCCCCCCCCCCCCCATAATGTTCCATCCATACCTCCCCCCCCCATAATGTTCCACCCATACCCCCCCCCCTATAATGTTCCACCCATACCTCCCCCCCCCCATAATGTTCCACCCATACCTCCCCCCCCCATAATGTTCCACCCATACCTCCCCCCCCATAATGTTCCACCCATACCTCCCCCCCCCCCCATAATGTCCCACCCATACCTCCCCCCCCCCCCATAATGTCCCACCCATACCTCCCCCCCCATAATGTCCCACCCATACCTCCCCCCCCATAATGTCCCACCCATACCCCCCCCCCCATAATGTTCCACCCATACCCCCCCCCATAATGTTCCACCCATACCTCCCCCCCCCCCATAATGTTCCACCCATACCTCCCCCCCCCCATAATGTTCCATCCATACCCCCCCCCCTTCCCCATAATGTTCCATCCATACCCCCCCCCCCCCTTCCCCATAATGTTCCATCCATACCCCCCCGCCCCCCCCTTCCCCATAATGTTCCATCCATACCCCCCCCCCATAATGTTCCATCCATACCCCCCCCCCCTTCCCCATAATGTTCCATCCATACCCCCCCCCCCCCCATAATGTTCCATCCATACCCCCCCCCTTCCCCATAATGTTCCATCCATACCCCCCCGCCCCCCCCTTCCCCATAATGTTCCATCCATACCTCCCCCCCCCCCCATAATGTTCCATCCATACCTCCCCCCCCCCATAATGTTCCATCAATACCTCCCCCCCCCATAATGTTCCATCCATACCTCCCCCCCCCCCCCCCATAATGTTCCATCCATACCTTCCTAACTAAAAACTAATAAGAAGGAAAATCCTAGCGCTGCATTTTGCAGAGTGGCCCACAGGGGGCGCCCCTCCTCCTCTCAGTACGGAACACATGCAGTGTAAATGGTCTATATTCCCATCTGATTGGTCGAGGCCCCAATCCAGAATGAGTGCAGAGGGGAGGGAAAGTCCATGTGTAATGCAGACAGGGGATTGGTTGTTCAGTGACGGAGGGGCGGGGACTGTTATGACAAGCAGGAGTTGGGGGAGGCGTGAGTGTGTTGGAGTATAAATGCTGAGAGCCGGGATTGGCTGAGGAGTCGGGTCCTGGGAGCTCCTGTGGTCGGTGATGGCGGGATGGATGTGGTCAGTTCGGGGGAGGAGCCACCTGTCCAGGGTCTGGAGGTCCGCCTCTAGGGGGTGTGTGACCCAAAGTGTGCAGGGCCTGGACAGCCAGGTGAGACAATGACCTCCCCCCTTCTAACACCCCGTGCCTCCCCCTTCTAACACCCCGTGCCTCCCCCTTCTAAACACCCCGTGCCTCCCCCTTCTAACACCCCGTGCCTCCCCCCTTCTAACACCCCGTGCCTCCCCCCTTCTAACACCCCGTGCCTCCCCCCTTCTAACACCCCGTGCCTCCCCCCTTCTAACACCCCGTGCCTCCCCCCTTCTAACACCCCGTGCCTCCCCCCTTCTTAACCCCGTGCCTCCCCCCTTCTTAACACCCCGTGCCTCCCCCCTTCTTAACACCCCGTGCCTCCCCCCTTCTTAACACCCCGTGCCTCCCCCCTTCTTAACACCCCGTGCCTCCCCCCTTCTTAACACCCCGTGCCTCCCCCCTTCTTAACACCCCCGTGCCTCCCCCCTTCTTAACACCCCGTGCCTCCCCCCTTCTAACACCCCGTGCCTCCCCCACCATCCCTTCCAATACCTCCGTATGTGTCCCATTGACTGTTTGAGTCCACCTTTATTTCTGTCATCCTCTGCTCTGGCGGCCTCTGATAACGGGGGGTGCGCTGGTCTCTTGTAACGGGGGGCGCCGGCCTCTGATAACGGGGGGTGCGCTGGTCTCTTATAATGGGGGCTGCCGGCCTCTGGCGGTCTCTTGTGATGGGGAAGACGCCGGGCTCTGGCTGTCCCTGGTAATGGAGGGCGGTAAAGCAGCTCTCAGGGCTGAGTTGATGGGTCAGTATAATGTGTGTGGGGTGTACACAGCAGGGGGCGCTCCTTTGCATGTTGGGGGGTCTTCAGAACAGGAAACTTCCTGACCTTCCCCCACTCTCTCTACAGAAACTTCACCTCAATCTGTGAATGTCTGTCCGGGGACGAGCTGCAGAGCTTCCCATGACTCCCCCATTCACCCCCCCCCCCCCATGGTGTAGCTCCTAGTCGCAGTCCTGTAATCAGGATTAGTAAATGGAGACGGGGGGGGGGGGGGGGAGTTATTGTGTGCGGAGATCATATTCCCGGATTGGTTTCCATTATTTGTCTGGCAGGTCACATGACGTCACATCGAAGGTTATTCCTCCTCATTCCTCACTGCATCCGGCATCACCTCTAAAATCACCTCCACGCCCCCCGAACACCCCCCTGTGTGCGCAGCAGGGGGCGCTCCTCTCCACCAACACCCCCCTCTGTGTGCGCAGCAGGGGGCGCTCCTCTCCACTGAACACCCCCCTGTGTGCGCAGCAGGGGGCGCTCCTCTCCATGAACACCCCCCTGTGTGCGCAGCAGGGGGCGCTCCTCTCCACCAACACCCCCCTCTGTGTGCGCAGCAGGGGGCGCTCCTCTCCATCTACACCCCCCTGTGTGCGCAGCAGGGGGCGCTCCTCTCCATCTACACCCCCCTGTGTGCGCAGCATGGGGCGCTCCTCTCCATCTACACCCCTCTCTGTGCGCAGCAGGGGGCGCTCCTCTCCATCAACACCCCTCTCTGTGTGCGCAGCAGGGGGCGCTCCTCTCCATCTACACCCCCCTGTGTGCGCAGCAGGGGGCGCTCCTCTCCATCAACACCCCCCTCTGTGTGCGCAGCAGGGGGCGCTCCTCTCCATCTACACCCCTCTCTGTGCGCAGCAGGGGGCGCTCCTCTCCATCTACACCCCCCTGTGTGCGCAGCATGGGGCGCTCCTCTCCATCTACACCCCTCTCTGTGCGCAGCAGGGGCGCTCCTCTCCATCAACACCCCTCTCTGTGTGCGCAGCAGGGGGCGCTCCTCTCCATCTACACCCCCCTGTGTGCGCAGCAG